CATCCATCGAGCGGGGGAGGGAGAGGGGGGGGGGCTAGGGGAAAGCCGCGTCAAGCCACCCACTCAACCCCTAAATGCGACCCCCTCCCCAAAACCAACCATAAATTCGACTCCCTCGTGCGAATAGTGCGAACGCGCGGTTGACCCTGCCTCCCCCAGAATCCCTTCCTCTTCCTGAGACTAAACCTAAGTATACCTCAGGTAAAGCTGTTTGGGTACGCCACCTCGATTCGGCATATCTTCTAATTTCTAAGCATATTCAGTCCATCTTTTGGCATGTTTCGATAATTCCATATTTTCATGTCACTGAGCATTCACTATTTCAGAGATGTACGCCAGGGATTGCATGAAAAAAGTTACAAAAATCGACGGCACACCAAAAATACTCAAGGTGTGTTTCCTTAGGCTCTTTCCATGATTGACTGAGTGTTATTGCGCTAGAAAAAACAGCACTATTGGAGGTTAGCGGACCAAGATCGGAGGAAGAAGGCAAGTACTGCCAGCATCCTAAAAGTGGTGCACAATTGGTATGACGAAAAGAAGCTGGGCATAGAAGTGAGAGAGATAGGGCCGAGTTAGACGCAGACACCGTCCCGTCTTCATCCACTATAAGCCATTAGGCGGCACAAGTTATGCCTTATTACTAAGTGTGCCTCAGAAGGGTGACGGAGAGTGGGAAACCACTCATTTTCTACTCATCAGCAAGTGCTCGCCACTAACCGAAACAGGATGAAATTAGGAGCAAAATGGGAAAATCGTGAGCCACGAGTAGAAGGATTCAAGGGTGAGAGTGTACAAGCCACTCAAAGTGTGGAGACATGAAGTGTGTGATTCGTGTGAGACTAGGTACTGTCTCGGCACGAGGGTACAGACATATGGAAAATGTCACGGCACTAGGAATACTGCGTAATAGATGAAGTCTAAAAGGCATTTCTGCTGGGCAAAATCTGTGTAAGGGGCCGCTTCGCGGATCGTGTCGTCGTCTCGGTAAGCCTTGCACTACGCGCTGATTCCCTAACGGGAAAACGAGTAAAGGAAGGGATGGCTCGAGAACGTAGGAGGATCGGGCAGAGGAAATTGGTGAAGGACGACCATTCATATTGATAACTTAACCTTTCAAGCGTCACTAAAATTCGCTGTCTGTAGGAACGAGCCGGAGCGGCCTGGGTTGATGGCCTGAGCCTGCTAGGTCCGGTGGTTGGAAATTTCTGCATGGATCTCGCTATCAAAAAGGCCAAGGATGTTGGTATTGCTTGCGTAAGCGCTAAAGGTACGTGGTTACGGTAACCTTCGCTCCTGTCAGCATTGAAATACGGTATTTCCAGGTTCAAATCATTACGGCATTGCTGGGTGGTATGTCATGAGAGCTATGAGAGAAGGCCTCATTGTAAGTTCGCCTGAAGATTTTTATAATTGAATCATTATAGACGATTATTTGACGCTCTAGAATTGGACTCCTGAGTACTGTATAAGTATAGATAATCCGCAATTGATTAAGGGAATTGCATGTACCAACACATCTCCTATAATGTATCCGACAAGGGCAGCAAAAGCAGCTCTTGGCACAAATCCAATAGCTATTGGCGCCGAAGGCACTGGAGGTGACTCGTATTTGCTGGACATGGCAACAACCACCGTGGCCATTGGAAAGGTATGACGTTTCATCTCCAATTATCGTGAACCATCGCAGTTGGAAATTATCAGCGAATAAGTGAATTGGTCTACACACCAAGCCTTTTTATAATCCATTCATTGCAGTAATAGTTAATTCAGCCTTTTCGATTTCTAAAATAGTCACGCAAAAATAAATACTTTCAGGTTGAACTTGCCAAAAGAAAAGGGCGACAAAGTTCCTGAAACGTGGGGTGTTGCCAAAGGAGGTACAATGTCAACCGATGCCGAAGAGATTATCACTGGTGGTGGCCTTCTGCCAATTGGAGGCGGCGAAATCAGCGGTGAGGCTGTCACTCTACGGGTGTTCGTAAGGTGTGATTGTTGGAGACTCCTTGGGGTGGAGATAACAGAGCGCTGCAATTGGTCAAGTATTGTCTGGCGGATGTGTACATAACCACATTTTCGCTTTCAGATAAATGAAGACAGAGTGATGGTCTTGCGTCTAACCAATGAAGGTCTTCTGAGGGTGCGCAAACTTTTCAAGCTTTTTAAAAACGGTTTTTTCCATGATATAGGGGCACATGCGGGGGGAACCAATGGTTCAATTTTTCCTAACGGCCCTCTGAATACCAAAAAAGGGGTCCCTGGTTCGATTCCTCGTGGTGACAAACTTTTGCATTTCGAGTTGACGTGGTTACTGACGGTCCTAATTATGAATATGGCATTCATTGTTCATGCTAACTCCATTTGCGCGAATTTTGAACGTCAACTCGAAATGCAAAAATTTGTCACCACGAGGAATCGAACTAGGGCCCCTTTTTTGGTATTCAGAGGGCCGTTCAGGAAAAATTAACCATGGTTCTGTGGTTCCCGCATGTGCCCCTATATCATGCAAAAGACCGTTTTCAAAAAGCTTGGCACGCCCTGAAAGACCTTCCTGGTAAGGCTGTTTAGAGTTGGCGATCGTACGTGCAACTAGGCGACTCTCCTCCGCTCAGTGAGCAGTCGCCTAATCACCTAATCGCCTAATCAATTTTTTGCTCTTCCTCACAGACCTATTCGCTCAATCGCTTAGTCGCACGAACGATCGTCCACTCTGAACGCTGCCTAAGACCGTTTTACGATAATAAGTTTTGAAGAACTGCCTATTGAAACTCGGAAGATATTATAAAGACAAAAATTGCATAAAACTGATGCCCATGAAAGGGGAAGATGGGCAGTGGAGCGAGCTGGGAAGGGTTTTAGTAGACAATATGTGGCGCTCTCATGGCAGAAGGTGCGCTATCAACAACAGGCGCTCACTTCCTTGGGATGGGGAGGACATTCACAACAAAGCCGATGGTAGGTGACACTAAAGACAAAGCCCAGGAGAGGGGAGAAACGCCAGGGAGCACACATATTGCTTGCATCCTCCCCCAGAATCCCTTCACCTGCCTAAGGCTCAGTTACAAGTGCTGTAAGTGGACTCACTTACTAGTTTCCCTCAACGACATGGCGCCCAGCAATGAAATGAAGTCCAAAAGGAATCTAGCGGATCCAGACATACCGTACCCCAGGCGTGGTGTGTGAGTTTCTTCTT